AGTTTATAAGTCCTCGCTTGCATAGATAGGTGAGTCCTCCCTATGTAATTAGGTATCTTAGCTATCACAGTTCCTGCCCTGTAACCACTGAAGTCCATCCAGTCAAGTGTGAAAATGGATTGTGACGAGACAACGTACCTCTGCTTCACTAAAAGCTTTTTATGATCTGCATCTTTCAGGTGCTGTTTGGCTACGTTGCTGATGGTATCACCAAGTTTTATGAACAGTGGCTCTTTTGCAGCTATTATCATACTGACTTGCCTTAGAGATAAATTCATAACGTATCTGAATAACCGTTTTACTAAGTAACTTTCCGACAGTCTTAAGCTCCTTCGCATTAACAAAGTTGTTTTTCAAGAGTTGGATTGTAAGGATTAAGTTTGTATTTACGAGTTTGACTTCGGATTGATACCAATTCGAGAACTATTGAAAAGTAACTCTTTAAAATTAATCTGATGCTCTCTGGTGACTTGCTACAGGGTGGAGTTTCTTGGAGTTCTAGTGAGAAATCGTGACCGGTGAGGTCCAACCAGTGAACAGTGAAAATGTATGGCATTTGTTGGTGGTCACGCTAATTCACGAATCAGTAGAAGTTAGAATTCAAGGGCTTGCCACTGAATTAGGTCCCTGTGGCTGTGAATAGTATACAATCTTGTCTTGTAATCGGAAAGTCCCGGGTTCGAACTGTGGTGGTGGGCGTATGCTGTCGATGATTTGCAAACTAGGCTAGTGAAATAGCTGTCCAGTACTTCCTGCTTGTTTTCAATGATTCTCTAACTAATATCAATCCGTGATCAACTCTTAAAAAAACAAATCTAACCCTTACAAACAACTAATGAAAAACAAAGTAACTAATATATTTATCCGGCAATAAATATATGAACTAGTGATTCAATTGTAAGGCGCTTGACAACTACTCACACTTTCACGGGTTCGTTTATCTGATGATATATTCCTAAACAATACCTTAAAATGGACTTCTTTTATCTAGAGAAAGTATTTTAAATGCCCTGTCGACTGAATATAATACTGCAACTGACATTCTCAGTTTCTGTTGACATATCGGTCTTTACCACCGACTTTTCAGCGACACGGTAGTAAATAACAAATTTAATGAAGAAATACACTCCTTTTCAATTAGTTCCCCATCATTTGCTGACACTTCATCAAGGCGATTAACCAACAAGTAACAAGATATCTAAGTTCTGAAGAAGGGTTGAAAATTGATTGACTAGTTATTTCGAGACAAGTTACTTCGTAGGGGTTAGCAACAAGTTATTACATAATCTAGAAATTCGTAAAATAGCGATGATGACTGAGAATCATAAGATGACTCAGAGGACTATGTAAAATACAAACAAGTTAATAGAACTAGCTACAATTGTAAAAACTAACAAAATCAAAAGACAGTTACAAGGTTAGGGGAAAATAACGGTTTTAAAAACTTAATACATATTATGCATTTGGCCATGGCAAAGGAAGGCGCTATGCAAATTTCTTTTGAACACACACAGAGATTCGGTTTGTTTAGAGAGATGGATTTCACTTGCCTTTGCTGTATGTAGAAGTCGTACTCGTAGACCTTGCTAGAGAGTGGCTGACAAACGTCAAATAACTTTAAAAGCTTTATTAAAGTACAGCATTGATGAAATCAGCCAGCTATGAGCTACGTATAGGTAAATGGAATCCATCTGAACAAGCCATATCTGTATTCAAGTGTTGGTTTGTAAGGGTTTGGTTGATTGGTTACTGGATTTCATCATGAGCTGACGTTGTTTAGAGAACCATTGGAAAACACGCAGGGAGTATGGACAGCTGTTTCATCCTACTTTGGGACCCTTCAACAGTGCGCAGCCAGCGGGGTTCGATCTGAGCACCTTCTGGTTACAAGGCGAGCTTGTATGCCACTAAGTCACTGGGACCCGATCCAATGGCCAATACATGAATTCTAACTTCTGCCGATTCACGACATAGCACGACCCCTAGCTAATGTCTTCGGTGAGTATTTGTTTTCACGCCCGACCTGCTGCACCCTACTTGTCACGACCTCCCACTGGAACCGTGGGTAACCTACCTGAATAGGGCAAGTCGCTAGTGAGCATCCCATCGATATTCAAATATTGGTTTTTAGTAGTGAGGTCGTGAAGTCGTGACCGGTAGGGTGCAGCAGGTCGGGTGTGAGAAAAATACTCACCGAAGACATTAGCTAGGGGTCGCGCTATGTCGTGAATTTGGAGAAGTTAGAATTCATGTATCGGCCATTGGATGGGTTTCTGTGGCTTAGTGGTCTCGGAGCTCGCCTTGTAACCAGAAGGTCCGGGGTTCGAATCCCGGTGGATGTGTACTGCTGAACAGTCCAAAAGTAGGATGAAAAATCTGTTTAGTAGTCCCAGGTTTTCCTATGGTTCTCTAACCAATGTCAGCTCATGATGAAATCCTGTAACGTATCTATATGTTCAAAAAAGAAATCTGCGCAGCCCCTTTCTCTGCCTTGACCAACTACATAATGTGTATCACTTTTTGACAATGTTTTTCCCCTCGTATTGTAACTATCTTTCAATCTTGTTAATTTTACAAGTCTAGCTAATTTAATTAACTTACTTGCATTTTACGTAATTCTTCTGAGTCAGCCTATTCTTCTTAGTCATCATTGCTATTTTAGAAATTTCTTGATTATGTAATAACTTGTTGATAACGCTTAAGAATCAACTTATCTTGAATTCCGTAATTCATTTTAACCCCTCCTTTAAAATCTGGATATCATGTTACTAACATATATTAATTAAGTGTTTCGATGATTTTTAACCTCTTAATTTTACCAAACCCCCACTATACCCAAATGTCATGGACTTGTAGCGATAAATAATTCCCCAAAATTATTGACCACAGTGACCACTCATCACTGAACATTGTATGCTGACACTCACTGTTTAAGTCGACTTGTTCAGCTGAAGGCTTAAGGTCAAGCGTCCCCGCCATTTGGTACTCCATCGTATCACGTTCTTGCACGATCACTGGCCAGCTAAGCAATCATCTCGCACTTCTATTTCGTCCCGACATATATCTCGTGATTTGTACGGTCGAATATCGTGTTTTGCTTCGCCTTTGGTCTACGCGGAACGAGTACTATATAAGTTGTAGGTATTAGATCTTACGTTCCGGCACCTCAACTTTATAGACTTTGAGAAGGTCTTCAACAGTGTTGACCGTGAAGTAATTTGAAAACTACTCGAGTACTACGGCATACCCCAAATATTCATCAACCTTATTCAACAGCTATACGACAACCGCACACGTCAAGTGATCCACAACGGAAAATTCAGCAAGGCGTTTGGAGTAAACACAGGAGTCAGACAAGGGTGCTTGCTTATTATCACCAATGATATTCCTAATTGTGGTGGACTGACTGGATTATGCGTCAGACAGTGGGTGGGAAAAGAGAAGACAGGGATATCCTGGATCAACGTGAAGAACCTAGAAGACCTGGATTTCGCGCGTGGGTGATTCATGTTTGATGTCACACAATGTCGAAGACTTACAAGCGAAAACCGACAAACAGGTTGAAGAAGCGACAAAGACAGGACTTCAGGTGAACATAGACAAGACGGAGGTTATGAAAATAGCCAACCAACCAACAACACAACAGCAACATCCGGAGCCAATCACCATCAACGGGAGGGATTTGAAAGAGGTTACTTCATTCACTTATCTGTCATTGAGCATTGTCTCAATTACAGGAAGTCGGAACGGACGAGGATGTCGAATCGAGGGAGAATCGGGAAGGCGAGAAACACATTCATCAAGCTGAAACCAATCTGGAAATCTTCGTCACTCAGCCAGCATCAACAACAAACTTTGTTCGGATTTTCAATACAAACAGCGTCAAGTCAGTCAGTTCTTCTATACGGATCAGAAACTTGGCTGGTCACAAAGAATATTTCCAAAAGCCTGTTGCAGACGTTACCTTAATCAACAACTGTCTTCGCTCTATACTGAAGATCAGGTGGCTGGGCCGGAAAGAATCACCACTAAGAAATTATGGGGACAAACAAAACAATAACCAGTCGCCAACCAAATATGCGGGAGAAAATGGAGATGGATCGGACGCTAGCTGAAGAGGCCGTCGCTGCGTGACATCGCGCGCGCGTCAGGCCATTCCTCGAGTGAAACAAGGCCGAAACGGAAGTGGCGAGTGAGACGTCAGTGCAAGGGTGACATGGAGGAGATCGTGTGAAGAGGAGTTGAAACAGTCAGTATGGACTAACATGGATGCAGGTAAAAAGTACAGCAGAAGACAAAAGTGGCAAGTGGAGACGTGCAGTTGAAGCTCTATGTTCCACTAGGAACCCAAAAGAACAGTAATAATAATAATTAGATCTTCCGTTAGTATACTTCGTACTATACGTAAACATCAATACCGTCAGCCTCTAAAGACTAAAATAACCACCTAATCGGCATCATTCTTATGTAAAACAAAATACACATGAGTATAAAACCAGCCTATGATGATGACGAACTAACTGAGAAGGAATATGTTTCTCTGCATAAATTATTGTTTTTGTCTGAATGCGTAAATGGGAATTTTTTCAAGTTACTAAAGTCAAGAATTAAAATTTTGCCAATTAAACAGTTGTGATACACATTGTACATTAAGATAGCTCTCATGGCTTACCAGATTACGCCTCAACACTTCAGAAACGATGGGCGTTAGGTCCAAAAATTTGTGGCAATACTCTTAGGCATTGAGGATGAAGGGAACGCACATTCAGCTAGCTAATTTAGTCTCAAGAATTCCACTGCTAGCCTGTACGAGTTAAGTAACATAATTCTAACTCTTATCATCGCTTCAGTTTTCTTATTTCTATTGGAACGAATTCAGCAAACTATACACTCTCTCTTGATGACAGTAATAATAGTAATAATAATGACGAAAAACACAACAACATAGGGAATACAAACTTATACGGGGGCTAGTGCTCACAACCTTTTGAAAGACTTACCAGCTTCATGAAGACATTTGCTCTTCTTTTCAGTTCTTTTTGTATTTTCATTTTGTAATTTTAAAAGGTAATAAGGGAAAAAAAAGGAGAAACGTACGAAATTATTGTTACATTGAACAAAAAACACAATTTGGAAAAAGTACTTAGGTGAACAATGAATTGTTAGTTTTCGTTTTAACGAATGATGGCTGCTTCAAACTACTCGAAAAGTGAAATAAACTGAAGTCTTCCCCCAAGAAATACCAAGGATGATAATAAAAATGTTACATGCCTAATTTTGAATTAGTACAAAATATTACTGATAAAGTGGTATTTTTCTAAAAAGAAGTGAAGTATATAACTGTTGGGGCGGGGTTTACTCTGAATTTCTCCCTAATAGATTAAATTAGACCAGAATACTCACTGATTACTGACACGTCAGAATCTAGTACACAGCATTCAGCAATGTCCTGAGATGTATAATGAATTCTTAATATTAGTAATCGTTTCTACATTTGGCTTTATACCTAGATGTCTCTTGCTAAATAAGGTCTCGATGATACAAACTGAATCCTGGATCACAAACTGGTTGCATTCCTATCTCTCAAACAGAATGCAGTACACTATATACAAAGGTAAATCCTCCTCTGCTGTGCTCACTGAAGCTTATATCCCCCAAGGTGATGTACCCCCCCCATTTCTCTTTTCCACATGATTTACCATCTTCAAATGACATCAACTTTGCTAAATATGCTCACGGCTTGACTGTATCTTTGCCTGTCAAATATCAAAGTGACTGCTCCAAACTAAATCGCTTTTTTTCAGAAATCAGCCAGTGGTTCAAGGAAAACGGTCTAACCTTAAACCCTCCAAATGCCAAACAGTCAGTTTGACCTTTAGGCATAAACGTGACCTAGACAAACTGATTAGCACTTACGAGGTGTGCAACACAGATGGCACTGAAATAGAAACCAAGTCGGAAATTAAATACCTAGGCTTCATTCTATCTGCTGATCTTTCCCTACTGGTCGTCTCATATCTTGATGATTTCTAAGAAAATATTCCGTCTTGCCTTTCACATCAAGAAGTTAAGACATTCTGGTACAAACCATCCCTTACTCCTACAATTCGTTAACTCTTGCATTCTGCCTATTATTCTCTATTGTTCCCCCTTAGTTCTTCCAGAGCTACTGAAGAAGGACTATATCTTATAACGCAGGATGCTAAAGGTTGTCAGCAGAGTAAACAATGTGCCACTTAACCAGCTTGTTAATATTCTAGTCGACAGGCACTTGGACTCATGTGAAAAATGGGCTAAACCCATTCTATCTAATCCACACCACCCTCTTTATTCACAACTCACCCCTTGTATCTCATCAAGCAGGACCAGAAGCCTTCATAGAAAACTATATGCTCGCACTAGTAAGTACAAAAACTCATTCATACCCTACTTAGCTCGTGTTCTATGAGATAAAGGAAGCATTAGGCGTGATACCCATAACTTATTAAATAGTCAGTAGAACAACTGGATCTCGTCTTTCCAACTCATATCATTTGTAGGTACAACGTTTTCTTTCCTTCCTTTTTTTGTTGTTGTTGTGTGCTCTTTTGTTTCTCTCTTCCTTATAAACTCTATTAAAACATCATTCTTCGTTCTTTCACACTCTGTTTACCTCAACCTTTTTGTTACCGTTTACGCCAGTAAATATGCCAGTAACTACTTTTCTAACATCTTCAAACACTCTGTTCAATTTTTTGCTTTGCTACCGACATGCCAATATGTTGGTGTCAAAACTAACTGAGATTAGCCATAATCTATGTAGATTTTATTTATTGTTAATGTATTAAGTGGATACAATACTGTAGTGAAATGGTGAGAATTCCATTCTGTATCACAAGTACCGTTTGGGAATAAAGCAGATCATTATTATTTATCCTTATCTGGCCCGAAATTGACAACAATATCTCATCTCCTCTTCAGAGAATCTGCTTCATGTCAGTCTCGCACCCACGCAAAATTCGTCATTTTTCACTAGGGTTCCATTCAACTGCCTGGTGTGTTTGATTTTATTCAGCAGTCGCCTCAGAGCGTTTCCCGCCCATTTCCACTTCCTTCTGCATATATGCTGAGCAGCAGGTTCTTGGTTAGTCCACTGCTGGAATTCCTTCTGGTTATTCCTTTCCAACCTCTCATCTGGTCTTCAGCATGAAGTGAAGACAGATGTTGGTGAAAGTATGAAGTCTGTTCGTAGTGCCTTTGTTTACATTACAAGTTCTTGAGTCATATAGAATACAAAATAATTGAGAAAAGAATATACTTTTCGATAATTTCCTCTTTTGGCCCTACTTATATATATATATGTTTATATACATAGAATATTCTAGAATAGTAGTCAATAACAATATTAATGTTTCTTAAATAATATGGATTTGCGAAGTAAGATCAATATAATCACGGTTCATTAAAAAGATACCTAAATAATAAAAACAATAGCAACTGGAATATCAACTAAAATTAGGGAAATTTCAAACCACTCCTCTTTTGCATAAGGCAGTAGAAGATAAACTGTCTAATTTCGCCTTCTTCATGTGTATCTACCAGTCTGACTGCTTCTGTGGAGTGAGCCAGTTACATAGGCCGTACAATTAGTCATGTTTCTCGTCAGATTTACGAACATAATCCTGCAAAGTGGTTAAGAGAAGGTCAAATAAAATCTATTCGTAGCTCCATTCTATTTCATTTTGTGGATACAGAACACAAGATTGATGTTAACCAGGCAGCTTTCAGAGTCATTTACCGCATACCAACAAATCCTAATTTCGCCGTAAGAGTTCACTTACTAAATATTGCTGAGGCTGTTAGGATAAACTTTAGGAAGACTAAGTTATGCGTCCAAAAGAAGCTAGTTCAGACATTATCCTTACCTTGACCATCTAGGTTTGAATGATCCTCAATTTTTATGAAAGATCCCTAATTTTAGTTGATATTGTATTTGCTATTATATCTTTATTATTATCATAATTCAGGCATCTTTAATGAATTGTGATTCCACTGATCTTACTTTACAAATCGATATTATTTCAAAAAAAACTAATATTGCTACTGACTACCATTCTGGAATATTCTATGTATATAAAATTGTATATATAATTGAAGAGCCAGAAGAAGAAATTATCGAAACGGATATTCTTTGCTTAATTATTTTGTATTTCATAGACGACTGAATGAATATTTTTGCTATGTAGAATAATTGACTGACTTGAAATAAGTGTTGAAAATATGAATCTTCTTCTGTAAGTTGAATGCAGTAGGTTTTTACACTGATTTCAGAGTAATGAAAGGCTGCATTGCTTTTCTGACCCAAGGTAGGTTAGACAACTTCATCAATGCTGTCTCTAGTTGTAACGATGCTCCCGTTGATAGTGACTGGTGCTTGTTATTGCTGTTTGTTGTCAGACATTTTCGTCACCATTGTCTTTTCACTTTAGGTCGTTTTCACACTATCTGTCTCTTCTGCCAACTTGTTGAATTTTTCTCCGGTAGATACTTGAGTTTGTGTGACATTCAACATAAATCATCGGCGAAATCCAAGGATTCAAGAGTTTCCTTGTCCACATAAACGACTGCTGTCACCTAGCTCCTCACGATCTGTCGAATGACCTATTTCGCCGCATTTTAGAATATCATCATAGGTAGTAGTCAGCCCCATCTTATTCCTGTCTTCACTTCAAAGACGTTTCTGAGTTTTTCACTGGACATGTCACATTGTAACAAAAGAAGGCGAGACACGGAAGCCGAAATATATTTTTAATTAATCAAGCCCCTGTTTATATATATCAGTGCAAGAAATGGTGCGAAATTATGCTTCTGTCCATCCGAAGTAAAATACTAAGCCAAATCATCCTGGAGAGAATCAAACTTCGACCGGAACAAGTTGGATTCAGGAGAAACAAGTCATGTATTGATCTAATCACCACTCTACGAATTATCATTGAACAAAGCTTGAAATGGCATTCACCTCTCTATCTCAACTTCATCGACTTTGAAAAGGCCTTCGACGGCGTCGATCGAGAGGTCATTTGGCAACTACTTCGTTACTATGGGGTCCCATCGACAATTATACATCTCATCCAACAGTTGTTCGACAATACTGCATGCCAAGTAATCCACAACGGGAAACTCATGGAATCCTTCGAAAGGAGGACGGGAGTAAGGGAAGGCTGTCTGCTATCGCCAATGACTTTTCTGATTGCAGTAGATTGGATAACGCGACAAACAGCGGGCAATGAAGAAACAGGTATTAAATGGAATCACACAAGAAACTTAGTGGACCTCGACTTCGGCAATGATATATGTCTGATTTCCCACAAACTGGAAGACATCCAAGTGAAAAGCAGCAAAATGACAGAAGAAGCATCAAAGATAGGGACGAACTGGAAGCGGCGAGTTGGTCTTCCGAGGGTGACTTGGAGGAGGTCATAGGAAGAGGAGATGAAAGCATATGGGCAAACTTGGAGCCAGGTGATTACGTTAGCAGAGAACCGAACGCAATGGAGACGCGCAGTTGAAGCCCTATATTCCTCTGGGAATTTAAGGAAATAATGATAATAATTATATATCTACAGTTTATACTCGTTAACCAATCACTGAGCGTGTGATTTCAGTTGCTAATGTCGAACTGAACTGTAGGAATATGTGAGAATAATATTTCCTTGGCAGTCATTGTCTGTATTACACCACCATCACCACAGCATCATCATATAGCTGCTAAATTAGGTTAACAATCGGTTTTGAAGCACTTCGTAGTGTTGAGGTGATTTCTAAATCCCTCCACGATCAACGCTGTCGAAGGCTTTTCAGACTCGATGGCCTTGAGATCAACACGACCTTATTTATGCCGATAGTGAGTATTACTGATTCTGCTGCCTTCAGTGGATACTTTATTCAGAAGCTTATCGAAGCAAGAGTTGGACAAATTGTCTAGACAGGAAATTAAAGTTTCACAATTTAACCCCTTATCTCTGAGAACATACCAACAACTGGAGCTATAAATCTTCTCCAATAATTTATAATTTAAAATTCCAAGAATTCAGCTCACTGATTATATCGCTAAAATTTTTATTTTCAAAAACCAACAACACATTTGTTTAAATTAACATTTACTAGTAAAACAATTTTGTCAACATAATGGTTTCTAATATACACATTGAACACATTGAATATATATTAAACATTGATATGAAGGCTGGATAACTTTTTGATTTGAAATAAACAAAAAAACAAACAAACAAACTCTTTTAGCCTTTATTTAACATTGAGAATTATTTTATGAGTGGGATTATTTTTTTCTATCTAAATATAATGCCACTATGTAAATATAAATATACGTATAATAGTTGACAGTTGAATAGAATAATATGATACGTTAATACCATACGTCAAATTGTCATTACATTGTTTAATTAATAATTGCTAGTGAAGCAGAAAATTGTTTTCGTGTGTTTATATCAATAAAAAAGTATTGTCATTTCGTTAGATTTTGTTTCTAATGGTTTGTTTGTTTGTTGTAATGTAAAAGAGAAGTTAGGAAACGTTTTGGTTATTACTAAAATGTGAGTTTCTAAGTATTTATTCTCAGGTGAATGCGAGCACGGTATTATTTATGCCTTGAGTTCCAAGAAGAAAATAAGGCCAATTATCGCCATATCTCCGTTGCATATGGTTCTCTGTTATCACCTGGAACTAGTTCCACAATTACCCACATGTTCTGTCGGAAGCCTAACCGACGGTTTTCCCCTCCACAAGAGGATCAGGTTTACGATGTCTCTAGATAGTCTACTCATCATAGTATATATCCAAGCCATCTCTAATTCCTTCTGTGTATTTATTGGTCAAAAGATTGTCGGCCGCCTCCCTGTACGGTCAGATTTCGTTGTTCCCTAATGTTTCTGGCCATCTCATCCAGTGACTGGGGTAAGCCGGGATTGATGAGGTAATGTTTCGTTTCAGTAATTTTTTATATTGCTACGGATGGAATCATACATTTTCGATACGGCAGACATTCATTGATATTGATATTTATAATTCGGGTAATGTTCTGAAGATCTGGACTTCGCGGACCACTTAAGTCTCATGTCACATAAATTTGAAAACTTCAGGGTAAAAACCCAACCAGCTGTCTACAGAAGAAACGGTACAAAAAGGACTTTAAATGGACACAGAGAAGACGGAAGTGATGAAAATAACCAGCCAACAATCAACAGGAGAAATTTAAAAGAGACTACTTCATTCACCTGTCTCCGGCAACATCGTTTCAACTAAAGTCAGCCAGCGTCGATGAGGACGTCAGACCCATCGAAGGACAGAAAAGCAGCGTAAACCTCCTTTACTCTGAAATCCTTCTGAAAATCTACTGCACTCAGTGTAAGAAACAAGATTCTAGGATTTTCAACACAAATGTTGAATCAGTCAGTTCTTCTATATAGTTCAGAAACTTGTTCATCACGTAAAGCATTCTGAAGAGACTATCATGTGACATCGCTTGCAAGGCCCTGTCCTGGAACCAGAATACGAAGCAACAAGCCGGACATCCAAAGGGAAGGCGTAAACTTATGGGGAGTCGTTGAGCAGGCTGAGGAGAACTCTAGAGGATAGGACAAATGGAAATGTGCACATGAAACCTATGTCCCCCCGACAACCAATAATAATTATCTGGGAACATCATTTACTTTCATTTTTTTATCGTAAGTGATTTTTATTCAAGGTTATATGGGTTGCTTTCATTTTACACCATTACCTTAGTGAGCTCACTACTGTTTCAGATTACCAACCTTGACTGTTTACCTTTCAGTTAAGATATACAATTTCTAAATTCAACTTGTTACTAAATTTTATATTAATGTATGTTTTTCCTAGGCACGTTTTACCGATGAACTTGAAACCGAACGCCACTATGCAGTTCTTTAGGTAAGACAACCAATCAATATATAATATGATTTTATTAAAGTGGATCATGCTTTAAAAATTGCCAACAAGGGTGGTCAGGACACTGCTGCTTGAAGTGGTGCGTACACTTTGCTCTGAAATCAGATGGTATGCACAGTTATAATTCTTTGAAAAGCAGTTGTCTAAAAACAGGTATTCAAAGAAATTTGTTTCGATAAAAATTGCAGTAATGAGAAGAATGTTGTTACAATCGAGAAGAAGTCTGTGGTCATCTAGCTAACCTTCAGAGAAGATGGTGTATCATACCGTGTAAAGAAGAGAAAAAGTTTTGTGCTTGCTAAAAAGCTTTTCCAGCATCTGAAATTGTTCCTGTTCACAACGCTAGTCGTATCGCCAATCAACAGGAAGTAGGTAGGTCGCCAACTAAAGTCACTTCCGATTGTGTTTACAAATTCAAACGCTCGTTCAACAGCAAGTATTTAGGTAGTACAAAAAGGTGGACAGCCGCGGACTTCTTCAAACGCATTTAGAAATCATAGGCCATCGGATCAGGTTCCATTGGCTCAATAGTCTATGGGCTCGCTAGCTTTGTGACCAGATGGTCCTGGGTTTGAACCCGGTGGGTGCGTAATGGTGAATAGCCCCAAACTAGGACGAGGGAAACAGCTGTCCAGTACTCCCAGCTGGTCTTCTCTAACTGATGTCAGCTCATGATGAAATCCTCCGTCCATTTAGACAAGCTTGAAAAGCAAATATCCAACCTCTTACTAGAGCCGCTGGATGATATTTAAGCGAGTCAGGGTACAAAGTAGATTTTCAGACTGCATTTGTCATTACCGAAATGTGGGGAAATCCAAATTTACTTTGATTCATCGAGTCTGTTGCCATCAAGGAAACCAAACGAAAATTGTGTATGCAGATTGGAGCAGTGATTATTCTCTGTTTACCTTCGTAGCATCTATTTCAACTTATTATGTAATTATTCGTCCTGTAATTTTTTCGATTTGTTTTACTATTCTCATAACTATCATTATTAATGTGATCCCTCTACATTCGATCACTAATCTTGACTCATTTAAAGGACTTCCGACCATTCGTAAATGCTTACTGTGCGCTGCTGCGTAGCTACTTTGCTTGCATTTCGCTATTCAACTAGTTTGCTTTGTTCATAGTCCAGACAGATACCGAAACCTCTTGAATATTCCTGTAGACTTGTGACGAATGACATATTCGTTTTGTGTTACTTATACCTTATTGTGTCCTCGCATTATTCCTTAAACGACGATCACCGCGCTGAATTTCTGCCGAATAGAAGTTCAAGAAATGAATGTCCATCTTTTGTGAATAGTCTTTATCGGGAACTAAAGAGAAGCACCAAATGAACTACGCGCAGTTGATACTTCAAATTTTCCTCTTCCTGCCTCCACAAAGAACTTTATCAAGAAGATACACGCCTATAGACTATGGGATACAGGTCATCACTATCCAGGAAATATTCTTTGAAGTGTTCAACTCACTGACCAATGTACATTCATTGTCATTCAATTTACTTTTAAAGCTTGATTTCTCAGTTAATTTATTACTTTATTAAACGCATCTTTAAGAAAAACAATCTTATTTGAATCAAACTTACCATAGTCTTGATTAGAATTGGTCACTTGATTTCGACAACTTAAATCGGCTATTGTATTCTGTTTTCGTAACATTCGTCTTTGACGTTCACGGAAGGAATTCACTGTTGAGATGATTGGTGGACGTTCTTGTCCAACTTCACTGAGGGTTCTATAATGCAGAATGAACCAAATTTTACCTAATGCTTTGACGTTTTAGTACAGAAAACATGCATCGTTTAAGAGATGTATGTTATTCTTAGTAACATAATTTTTAGTAACATTTTCAAAACTCTTATCAATGCATAGAAAAGTTTCCAAAATTATTCACTAAAAGAAGTAAGAGTCGTATATAAGGAAAAGTGCATGATCAATAAGTTCAGGTTTAAGTAGCCATTACAAATGAGTTAAAACCTGAGATTCCATGTTACGCATCATTCGAATCATTTCCTAGGTTATGCTTCAGAAAACAAGCGAAGTTCTGGTAACTGTTCAATTTCCTTGTATCAATTGTTGTATACTGATTCATTATGTGATCGATAAAGGCTAACTGATCTTTGGAGTAGATGTGATATTCGGCTATCGATCAAAGAAGGTGTGTACTCCTCCGCATTATTCTTCTCCGTCCTCCTTTAAGTCTGAGAGGTATGGCCATTAAAAGTAAAGGACTTCAAGAGGCTACTTGACTTTGACCATGTTGGATGGCATAACAGAATGATTAATACTGAGTTTAGGCATCTAGTGTTAGGTAAGGAACAAAATTCGATCGATGAGGCTGTGAATCTACATCGATTGAGATGTTTAGGACATATGTTCCATATATCTAACCATCACCTTCCTGGATGACCAATGTTAGGTGACATACGATCAGGTTGGAAAAAAGCTAATGGAGGTCAAACTAAAACATAGCTTCATCAGCCCGTGAAATCCTTGGCAATTAACTTGAGCCACGTAGGGTAGTGTAGGCTTCCTGTTTGGGGTTCTTGGGATTCTAAGAACAATTGGTGATATGGCTCAAAATCTTTCCCACTGGCACAAATGCATACACTCTTTGTGATCTGCCAAATTCATGAAAGCCTATTCATTATTTTCCACGGTGATACTCTTTCTTCTGAATATTTACGCCTAGTGCTCTTCTTTAAATTTCTTTTTCGTCTATTTCGTCTTCTTTTGTGTGGTGCATGGAGTGTGTCAACTCAAACTGTTGTACTTCTGTGTAAAGTTAGTGAGTTACTCACCTGATATTAAGTGACCTACAAGTCTCAGTGGTTGGTAGTATTGCAGAGGGACACCACTCTCAATAGTCCTTACTGAAATTATATCTAATACTAAACCATATTCGTCAAACATATATATATATATATATGCATACATAGGTATGCATATGTTAAGACTCTTTTCCCTTGCATCTAATAGCTTGTCATTTATACATAAAAATTTCACTCATGTAATTTAAACACAAATCATTTAACAAGCAGAAGATCATCCTTTTTTAAATCTTATCCTTTTCTGTTCCGGCTGGAGCCTGGAGTTTGAAGTTTCAGAATCAGTGATATTTATTATTCGTGCGGTGGCGTAGCTAGCCTTACGAAAAACTTTCCCCCTTAACCAGACTTACTATCGGGTAAGATAGACTGAGAGCTCGTCATCTGGGAGTTAAACGTCAGGCCACGTGATTGGTTGGAGATTATTCTACCAAGGAACCAGTGACAGACAAAGCTGGGAGGTAATGAACAGCTGTTTCGTCCTATTTCCCGACTCCTCGATAGTATGCATACACCGGAGTTTGAGTCCAAAATCTTCCGATCACAAAGCAAGCGCATAGACTATTCAGCCCCTGGAACCTGATAGACTATTAACCAGGGCTGATTTGAAACACTATTATTCAGTCCTGCCGATAGATGTCAAGCTGCCATCCTGTTTTCTATGACAACTTGCTTAAAGTTACTCATGCATACATGGGATTGCATTTCCGTTAAGAAAAGCATTACGCATTGTTAGCTTCAAACGTTCACACTCATTCTGAAGTTTAACTGAGCATACGTTAAGTGAAATAAGGTAAAGTGTAGACAGCTAATGAAGCCGTTTCCCTTCCTACTCCAAATGGAACAACGGTTTTAGAGCTGTGAAGTTCTAGATTTCACGAAATAAGGTAGCTGGCCTTAAGGTTAACCTCCCATCTTTCCCACGATTAATACAAGCTAGGTAAAATTAAGCAGTGTCTCAGCTGCGAAATGAACCTGTACCCATTGCGTGATAGGCAAGCATCCTACCCTCGAACCGTTGACGCACAATTGACATACAATTTTATGTAAATTTTTTGAATAAATACCTACTAATAAAATATTTTTTTTAAATCATATGAGTACTACTTCGTCAGCAGATTTTTTTCTAGCGGAATTGCATCATCACTTTTTTGCCTTTCATCCATCATTCTTTCCTGTTTTTCCTATTTGCGTCAGGATGTTTACGCACTGTGAAAAGATACATTTATATATTTATTTATTTTAGTATGTCTGTGTTTAAATGTGAGGCGATTGAATTCATTTTTAATTTGTAGACATTTCAGTAAAATTGGCGGCAAATAAACACAGTTTGTAATCTATGGGTTTTCATACAGTTTATACAATTTCCCTTTTCATCTGAAAAGATTCCATAACCTTTTTTTCAATTTGTATGTATGTTTACATTTCAGTGCTAGTTGGCACTCACCAGTCAGCAAGGTGTATCTGCAACCTCAAAGGAACTTATGTCCCTTCTGAGATTCCAACCCGCGTCACTCAGTGAGTCCTGCAGTCACAGACGTTACACTGAGCTATTCGGGCTCGTTATTTACCCCTCCATCTAATATCATCAAATCAATGTGCACCGTGATGGTGAGCTACCTAGTGGCATGGTGGCCACATGGCAAACCTGACTGATAGAATTCAGTCTGCACCAAGGAGAGGATTAGACACACAACACTAGTTACTAGTGTCAAATCAAAATGACTTGCCATCATTGAGAGTTAGCCACAAAAGTGGCAAAGAAATCTGCCAAAGACAGTATGTTTCCAAAGTCTTTCAACTCCAGAGGTCCTTGACGTACTCATGGAGAAAACAGGGCTTTCTAGGGAATCTAGTCTCGTTTCCTTTCTTTTAGTTCAGTTTTCTGACCAATTCCTGTCGTGAACTTTCGTCTTCAGTCGTAACATAGATTATTTCATATCTTGGTGACACTTGTTTCTCGTAAAACTATTCTACACATTACGTAATTGTATTTTGAAACCTGTGTTCTTTTTTATTCCTGTATCCTTTGTGACTGACATTTATTTCTCAGTAGAAAGGCGAATTTTCATACTTTTTAGCTGGAAAATTAACATCTGCTCTTCTGAATTTCATTATTTTTCCCCTGGAATAAAACACTTGCCCATCATTCCCTGGTTTTCAGTGTTCCTCTAACTAATGTCAGTTAGTGAGTAAATTTATATAATAGTATTAGTTATCGCTCCGTGAGCTAATGGAATGGAGAATGCGCATAAAATGCTTTTATACAGCTTTCCAGTATGGAATCACTTATACTGGTTTCTAGGGATTTGGTTGGTTTTATATTAGACTAGAAATTCACATCAGTTAAGGAACCATTGGAAATGATGGAGTACAAGACACCTGCGTTTGCCTTACTATAAGAATATTCAGTAGTACACACCAGTGGACTGAGTACCCCTGGGTAACGAGACATGATTTTGACAATTCATCCATTGAGGCAGAATCCAATGGCATATATGAATACTAGATTCCACCGACTGATGATACATAGGGTTACCTCCAGCTGATGTCAGCAGACACTGCCTGTCTGTCTCACCTTTGACTTTATGGACCCTACTAGTCAAGAATACTAGAATGCTTGTCATGTGGTCAATCAACCATATGCAGTAGAATAATTAAAAAGTTTGAGCTTGATGAAATGTGATATAATCTCAAGTGAATCAACACTAAGAAGAATGTTCTTTGAATCAGTCCTTAAAAGTCATTCAAGAAATGATCAATTGTAGAAATGACTATACTACCGTGAAATAGCGTTCTCAAAACACCTTGTCAACTTACTTGTTCGTACTCTGTGATATGCCTGGACTGTCCTGATGATCAACTTCTGATTCCCCAATCAAATTCTATGAAAAGAAGATATAGAATAAATCAATTATTTTCTCTCTATTATACAGCACTTTAAAGTTTAAAATAAATGACAACAGTTCGCGATACAGGTTAAAACACACATCTAGTAGATATAAGTGTTTCAATACTAATCATCATCCTAATCACACGTAAACGGGGTGAAAAATGCAAAAGTATTAGATGATTGGAGGCAATCAGCAGGAGGCCTCCAGCCTAAGTTTCGTGCTACTTGGCACTCGTTAACACCAAACAAAGGACTAGACCCATTACACTAGCCACTAACTAGTATCCAACCAAAGTCTTACAGGAAGCTGATCGCGAGTCCGAATAGCTCAGAGGTCACCTCTCTGAGTGTAGAACTCACTGAGTGACGCTGGTTCGAATCTCAGTAGGAACATGAACTATTTTCAAGGTTGTAGACACGCCTTACTAACCAGTGAGTGCCAACTAGCAGGAAACCTAGTTCCAAGGCTTCCTGTCAATGGCTTTCAACCATTTAATACCGACAATTTACAGTGCATCGTGATGGTGAGCCACCTAGCATGTTGGCCACATTACAAACTTGACTGATCAAATTCAATCTGAACCGAAGATAGGTATAGATACATTACACTAGTTACTGACTTGTGTCCAATCAAAAATGAAAACGGTACACGTAGAAGGTCCTAGTCAGTAAGCGTTGTTTAACGAGATGGCATTTGTATGAAGTCTGTCTCAGAATCTCTCAAAATTGCAACACTGTGTGACAAAGCGTCAAATTTCAAAAGGGATATGATTTTATTTTATTTTTTTTAATTTTATTTTTGATTACAGCTTGATTCCACACTGTATTTTTGGTACGAGTATGGAATTTTCAGCAAGAATATCGGTAGCCCAAATTCTGCAGGCCGACCATAGATATCAGGTGTGCGTCGGCGGGGTTTCGAACCTCGGACCATGTGCATGGTCGGTGAGAGTCCTAACCACTGTGCAACCGACGCAGATACACTCTTCCGACGACCTCCAAATATCTCCAAAGAATTCCGAGCGTACCATGACGGCGAGCGGTCTAACATGGTGACTGATGGAAATCAGTCTAGGCTAAATTAAAACCTACATGCATCACATTAATTACTTACTATCTAGTGTCCAATCAGAGAAGGCCATTTGCTTAACAGTATAAAGTAGCCTATTTAAAAATGTTCAGTGTTTTAAATTAGCCTATATAAGTGTATAAATTAGGCACTCCGTTAGAATATAATTCAATATCATTTAATAGTGTGAAATATCCCAATATTATGAATTAAAAGTCAATCTGAACAAAGAATATTCTTTTCAACACATCCTTCTATCCAGGTTCTTACAATTATAAAATATAATATTTGTTAGCGTTACAATAATAGCCAGTTATGCGGCGGATACATTTTTAACGTTGAATAACAGATTAGTTATCGGGTGTCAGAATAAATAGTCGTATTTGTGTGACAAACGTGCTAGGCTGCATACGATTACAAAATATTGTGGAATGGGAGACAATTGTGGTGGTTAGTCATAATAGATTTGTAGAGTGTGTGTGGGATAGGAATATTGAGAAGTCAGTTCAAGGTTATAAAAGGTGTCAGGTGAGTGAGTGGCTAGTACAAAGTGGTCTGTGTTAAGCAGGAGATAGTAAGACTGCAATAAGAGGTTCATACTGAAATAACGAACGTGTGATATGAAACAGGTGGAGATATATATTCAGAAGTGGGTTAATATCATTAAAAAAAGTCCGGATAGTATAAATGAAAAATTCGATAGTATCAAGAGTATGTTTGAATGAAGGGCAAAATAATGACTAATAATAATGATTGTTTAATAAAGAGAGAAAAAACCAAGAGAGTTAAGGGGAAGAAGCACTCTCGGTGAGAAGAAGAATCATCAATCCAAGTTTGGCCACAGTTGGGACAGCGTCTGGATGAGTCCTTTTTGGATACAAAGTTCCAGTTTAGCCGATCTTATTACAACAGTTTCAGCTATGTGAAAGTGAAGTAAGCGAGCTGTACGTTATAACGACTTTAGCAGAATTCTGTATATAACCCTTATAGCTGTGTTGACGTCGACACCACGTCCAGTATCGACCAAGTGTTAGACAACTGAGCTTTTATGCATTTAATTTCCCCCCTGATGGACTAAGCCAACTCGTAGACGAACCTTCCTATTTGTGGGGGCTATATAACTTGAACCACAGGAACAGTTGAAATGGTATGTGCATGAAGAAGAGCCAAGGTTAGGTAAGACATCTTTGAGTTGCTGGGTGAACATTGGACGGCTACTGAAGGATAGACACAGACGTGCAGATTAGAAAATTCTCTTGATCGCCCTGGTTAAACGATTGGGTAGAATCTGCGCAGGCGTATCTCCCTTGATTTGGAGACGTAAAATTAGTGGCTTATCCACCGTTACCAGCTTATGTTTACGATTATTGTAACCCACGTTGGATCTAATGAAGTTCTCTGGATATCCGTTCTCGCTTAGAATGCCTCAGACGACCTAAAGTTTTTCTCTACACAGTCTTCGGAGCAAATGGACGCCACCCTAAATGCTAAGCACTTGATCAGATTACGTTTGTATTTCATCGGTGCGAAGCTACCATTGCTACTATTGTCTCCCATTTTACAATATTTTTAATCGATTTTAGCCTAGCACGTTTGTCACACAAATACGACTATTTATTCTGACACCCTATAACTAATCTGTTATTCTACGTTAAAAATATATCCGCCGCATAATTGGCCATTATTGTAGCGCCAACAAATATTATATTTTATAATTGTAAGAACCTGAAAAGAAATTATTGTAAAGAATATACTTTGTTTAGATTGAATTTTAATTCAATATCAGATAAATGTATTTGATGTAACACGCAACCATACAGTGTTAATATCTGGACGACGTTTCGAGCACTATTCATACTAATGTATTCGTAAAGCTTCATCATTTACTTTATATACATTCTTATTCCACCCTGTTATTTGTTGTCATTTCCCATAGATATCCAGTATAGGCGTTATGTCATTCCAATTGCACGTGTTTGGTGTTGAATCGATAAACAAAGATTAAGTGATTAATCTCTTTCTCTCTCTATCCAACTATATAACTGTTTAATTCTCCCACCTTATGGTGTGATTACATGCGAGTGAATGCCTTGTAATGGTGTTCTTTCTATCTTGTTAAACTTAGTCATTCTAACTGTGGATAAATTTCCATGTTCACATAACCCGATTAATCCTGATCTTCTAGGTTTAGCGTTGGGGGGGGGTGATGGGTTAAGGAAGCCAACTTACGCACATACAAACTTGTCAACTCAAGTACTCGGTGGTTCCAATTAAGAAAAAAATAATATAATTAACCAAAAATATCATGTAATGACTTTTCAGTTGAAAACGTTGGTCAGACTAGTGGATCAGGAGTCATTAAATTATCGGTATACAGCAAATTAGCTGGGGCCAGAATGAGTGACCTTGCTAAATTAAAAAATCTAAAGGACTTAGCTATTGTCATGCATTTAGTTGAATGTAATCACACAATAGAGTGAGATAAGGTGATAGCATTAAAATGTATTATAGTTAGTTAGTTGGAGAGAGAGAGAGAGATTATTCATCGAACCACCACCGAACATGTGTAGCTAAAATGACAGAACGTCTATACCGCGTACGTCGGAAATCACTATAAACAAATAGAGGGATGGGAAGTGAAAAAACTCAACATGTTATGGAGCCATTTGAGAACATTATTATGACTATCGGTAACTAAAATACTGCTCGATACGTAATCCAGTTATCAGAATCATATCGATATGTTTCTATGTCAAACAAGCCTTATTTAACTTGAAACTATAAACTAGAACTTTCTAGGTTATTTCATTGTTGTTCAACTTTCCGTTCGGACTAATAATTCCTTCATATTCACAAATGTGATGATTACACCTCATTCAATGGTACCAAGATAAAAAAAATTCTGATGATATTAGATAGTTGAAGGCAATCGGCTACAGGAAACCTTCAACCTAGGTTTCGTGCTAGTTGGCACTCACCAGTCAGCAGGGCGTGTCTGCAACCTTGAAGGAACTCATATCCCTTCTGAGATTCGAACCCACGTCAACCAGTGCTGCAGTCAGAGACGTGACCACTGAGCTGTTTGTGCTCGCGATTGACCTTCTGTAGAACTGTAGTGGGTAGTTTGATTGGACACTAGTAACTAGTGTAACTTGTCCAGTCCTTTCTTTGGTGCAGACTGAATTCTATCAGTCAGGTTTCGCAATGTGGCCACCATTCTAGGTAGCTCGCGGGTAGAACATGACTGATAGAATTCAGTCGGCATCAAAGTAAAGGACTAGACACATCACACTAGTTACTAGTGTCCAATTAGAATAATAAAATTCCGTTTTGATGTGCCTTACAGTTGCACACATTAGTTAGCTGATTGAAGATCAGTGATTTTCCTTCACTCCCCATCTTCTAATTTATTTATGCACATCATGATTAGACTAATAACAATTGAAATTGCTGTTTTCCCATGGGGACAGGTAAGTTTCGAGAAAAAAATATTTTCTCCCCACTCATTTCATGCTTCACCACAGAATTATAACAGATTGAAGAACCAGGTGTTTTGTCCTAGTTTTGGTCTCATCGGCATCATTCGCATGCATAAGGCTTCAAACACACCACCTTGCGGTTACTCGTAGAACTCGTAGAATATTCAGCCACTGGGAACCAATTCAACCGGAAGGTAGTGGATTAGAACCATGGTGTGTGCGTGCCTCCGACGAGTCCCAAACTAGGACGAAACAGCACAGTTCAGTACTCACTCACAAGTGGTTTCCACTGCTTTTCTAACCAATATCAATACAAGGTAAAGCTTGAAATAAAAAATCAAATTCCTACAAAACTGACACTTGAGAATATTCTTTTCTCATCTTGAAAACAATTTTTCATTTACATTTGACTCTAATTCACTGAAAGTTATTCAGCTTTCTTTA